GGTCCCTCGCCTCAGCACCGGGTCACTTGCGTCCCGTACCGCCCGCCGGCCCGGGCCTGCGGTTCACCGGGACGCAGCGTCCTCCGGCGGTGAGGTTTTGTTTTCCATCAGCCGCTGGAGAAACCCAGGCGAGGCGGTTGCTTGGTCCCTCGCCTCAGCACCGGGTCACTTGCGTCCCGTACCGCCCGCCGGCCCGGGCCTGCGGTTCACCGGGACGCAGCGTCCTCCGGCGGTGAGGTTTTGTTTTCCATCAGCCGCTGGAGAAACCCAGGCGAGGCGGTTGCTTCGTCTGTGGGCTCCGGCGGGTTTTCAGCCCTCTGCGGCTCTGAGGCTGTCAGCGATACCCTACAGCGAAACAGCGTGCCTCCCAGAAAAGGTAAAAATTAAGAGAGAAAAGAGCCAAAGCGCAACTGGAAGGGGAAGGCAAAAACACCAAAACGTGGCTGCTGGTAAGTCTTGTGATGTTTAGGCCGACATCATGGGGTCTTTTGTTAAGAGAGCTTTGAACTGTTGGGTTGCTCTTCCTTCAGTCACACACATGCACACCAACCTGCTGCCCCATGCTCCCTGACAGCTTATGAGGACATCTCAAAATCTCGGCTGGAACACGTCAGATTTGTCTCTCACACCTCCATTATCTTTCCCTCCCCTGCACAAACGTATGCGCTGCCTCCCACCCTTGTTCCTCCCTTCTCAGCCATGTTAACCCTCCCCAAAAGTCAGATACAGATGCCTCCTTTTTGCTGCTCCTCTTTATAAATGCTCTAGAAATCTTTTAGTATCTTACAAATAGTGCTAGAAAGCACTTGACAGGAAAACCTCAAGAGCTCTCATTCCATTCTCAGACATGAGGGAAGCAACCCTTCATCCTTCCAGATTACTCTGGAGAGGAAAACTGAACTACTTCCATGACACTAAATTACTGTAGCTAGCTCAGGGGAAAAAACCCAAAACGTTACTGGTCAGTGCAGGCAATGGCCAAAAGGGCAAATATCTTCCACCCAAACAATCTGCTGACTGGAGCCTGTTTCTTGGGGCTTCTCCCTTGGCCTTACGGTGCACATTGCATGGAAAGGGATGTGCATTTGTTCACTTCAGAGAAACGCAGGTCCTCAGCTGTGGGACTGGACATCCAGACATGAGAGATGCATGAGCACATCTGGGCAGAGGACCGTGACTGTGGAGTCCGATCCGTAGTCAAACCTGTGTTACTCATGTGGTGGAAGGCGCTTCAGTCACATGGTTTTTTAAACTTTAAGGGTTGAACAAAATTACAGTAACATAGTTAAGCATTAACTTGCTGCTGCTTACCCTGTAAATAGTAGCACGGCTGCTTCCCTTTGGAAAGTTCAAAGCAGTTTTGCTCAGTGAACACCCAGAGTTAAATGGGTGTTGAGGGGTGTTGAGATGCATAATGAATAGTGTACAAATACTAAAATGCTACAACATTTAAAAAAAAACCCAAAAAACCTTACGGACTTTACAGATAGTTGAGAGACCTTTTCTGTCTTCGCCCACTTCATTTCAGGAAGTCTGGGACATGGCAAATGTGAGGGGCTGCTGTTCTTTCCCAGAGAAGCTGGAAAGCCTTCCTAGGTGATGTGGACTGACCAAGCTCTCACACCACACCCCGTTAAGTCTCAGCAAAGCGAGTCAAAGAGCCGAATGCACCTACCAAAGCTTTTGTGTGTGCTTTTACTCCGAAGACTTGTGGGGTTTGAAAGCCAGAGGAACTTTCCCCTTCACTTCAGCTAGGCTTGGCTGAGAGCCCCAAAGAACACACAGTAAGTAACCCAAAGTGGTGAAATTATGAAATTTATTAGAGAACACTCATGTTTTCTTAGTACCAAAAGAGAGGCCATTATGTAATAGTTGCTGCCGTAGGGGAACAGGAATGTCTGCTTAGTTCCCTGATTACAGGGTAAAGTAGCAGCAAGTTAATGCTTAACTATGTTACTGTAATTTTGTTCAGTCCCTCAAGATTGTTAAAAAAAAAAACCAAAGAGTGGAAAAAGTCTGGAGTGGTTTTATTACGTGGCACACAACCACCACCCTGTGATCCAACTCCCTGCTCTTCAAAGCGAGGAAGCTGGTGGTCTCCCAAAGCGGGAGCCTGACGGCCCGTGAGTAAAGGGCGAGACGCCCGATTTCTCACCCTGCCCCGTACGCCGTTGCCCTGGTAAAGCCACTGCCTGTTCCTGTCCTTGCGCACACGCAAGTTACGAGAAGCCAGTGCTTGACTATGCTAAAAACACGCCTGCCTGATGCTGGACCGCAGGAGTGGCATGTCCTTTGCAAACCAAGCCCCTCGGGGCCGATCTGACAGCGGGCGACCTTGGAGCGGCCTCAGCTGGCCCAGGCACGCGCGGCTTCCACCCGGGCCGTGCCCGGCTCCGCCACTGCGCAGGCGCCGCCGAGGGGCCGGACCGGGTGG